TTCATCAATTTTATTTAAACGCCGGCTGAACTGTGTGAGATCTCCCTTAATTCCCAACTGAATAATAAGGAATCATTATTATATTATTAGAAAGATCTGACATCGGCACACGTTCGACTATACCAAAAATTTTACATTTATCTTTGATCTATTACGGGTGGTGTTTATTTCTCAGTAAAACATGGATTTCTTCAATCTCTTTAAGCAAAAAATTGTTCTGTTTCATGTCTGATTTGTATTCATCTAACACCTACATACCATCAGTTTCTGTTTTAATTACGGCTTATGACTACTAAATCAATAAATGCGGTTACATCTGTTTTTTTTTCACATTCCGTTTTTCACGGATCTAATTAGTGAATGTGAATGCACGATTATTTATAGTTCATAGACCTCCATTTTGGTTAATCGATTAACAAACCCATATTGAAATAATTACATGTATAATTGTTTGTTATTATTAACCAGGAAGCGATGTTAATTTGAGATAGTAATTTGTAAATAGGAGTAGGATGTTTGTAGGTACATGATGCTTTACAGCTTGGACGATTTAGGCAATTTAGTGTAACAAGCAGAAACTTTAACACTATTTGCCAGATGTGTGACATACACGCTGATAACCTCAAATTTATTCTTGAATTAACGTAATATTATGTCTGTTTTGTTATTTTCTTTATGTATGTTAGTTGTTATTAGTTTGGAACTTTTTTTCTTTTTTTTGTTTAAGTATAGATTACCCTGTACACTATTATACTATTGTTGCTTTATCCTGTAATGCGTGAGTGAATAAAAGTTAAAGTTAATTGGGCATGTAGAGCAATAAATAAATAAACTGTGCGTATATTTATAGATGTGGGATTATCGCCCATGTCAACGTTATCAATTGATTTCTTTTTTTATATTTAACTCCAATAAATATTTTCTTACTACGCATCCTGCTTTACAGAACTGCCTAAAGATAAAGGCTCCGTCTAGTTGAAGGGTTGAAATTGTGAATAATGCCCGTTTGCACCGACAAATTTAAGCGGAGCTTAGCTTAAGCGTAGCTTAAATTTGTTGGTGCAAACGGGCATTACTGCTTTAGGACCATTGGGCGAATTGTTACCGCTAGTATCAGATTTTCCAGGAAGGTATCTCTAAAAATAGTAACCGCAAACAAGTGCGAACAATTAGCATTTCTTTCCAAAATGTAAGACCTTACACAAACAGTTTCTAAGCCCCAATTGCACCATCAAAATTAATGGCCGTTTGCACCGACAAATTTAAGTGGAGCTTAGCTTAAAATCCATGGCAACGATTATTGAGACAATGGTTGCCATGGATTTTAAGCTACGCTTAAGCTAAGCTCCACTTAAATTTGTCGATGCAAACGGGCATTAAATCTTACTTAAAGTTAAGTGGAACTTAAAATCTATGGCAACGATTATTAAGACAATCGTTGCTATGGTATTTAAGTTATGCTTAACTTTAAGGGATACTTAATTTAGACGGTGCAATTGGCCCTAAGACAAGCAATAAAAACACAACGTGGAAAGTAAGCATTAATTGGTGATAAAACCGAGGGTGCAATATCCCAGGGTTGAATCTGGAGTACATTTCATCCAAAGTGGATGAAGTACCGATAACGTCTACCGTGTACGATGTATTGATTTTCTTTTTCATTAAAGTACTTTATGCCGCGCTTACTCATCCATCAATGCCTCTTCACCCTTAATGTTTGCGGTAAATTATCGTTATTTATCAACATTGCACGAGATGATACAGCCATATGTTTAATTGACGCACCTACCTATTTCGGGTTAGTAATTACGATAATCGTTTCAAAAAGCACCGGACTAAACATTTCTGATTATGACTTTGAGGATGTAATTGCATTCAACAATCATTATCATATTATTAAACAATTAGTGTTATGCGCGATGTCACATGTCTAGTTAACGATTTATTTTTATTTATCGACGTGCGCCAAATTGCCGGAGCGTTTTCGTATAGCAGTTCGATACTAATAACCATCATTTTCTCGTGAAAAACGCCCTTATTTCTTGTTGGCGTGTTTTTCATAAAAAATTATTCCAACCTTTATCATAACATGTGCGTTACTTCATTATTGCATGTGTTTTTGTTCCAATGATTATAGTTTCTTAGGTAACTCGAAAACAGAGCAAACCGCAAGGTACTTACTTAATTATTAAATGGGAAATATTCCTTACGATGCCCCAAAATAATAATGATAGCATTTTGGAAGTTGTGCGCTGTTGCGTTACAATCCGTCTTCTGGAAAAAGCTGCAGTAACATTTTTTTTGCGAAAAACAGATTTAATACAATGCCTTAGTAATGATTTTTCGTTGTAAGCTTTCCACCTTAGATCTCGCTTTCTGGTGGATGGTCAAATTTCGTCGAAATCACGAAAAACGGATCGTAAAGTCGGTTCGTTGAAATCACAATTAGGGGAGGTTTTTTTTTCGATTTGCACGAAAATAAGTATCTTTCGAACGCATGTTCGCACCGAAACCGCAACCTTAATTTAGATTGGGTTTTCCGTTCGTGGTTTTTCCAAAAAAAAATATTTAAGTCGCTGATTTATTACAGTTTCGTCCATAAACTGTGTTTTCAACGGGTCACTTTTATTGCCAATTCAAAATCTTATATATAAAACAAAGTCGAGTTAGTCACACCATTTATAACGAACGACTGGGACCAATTTCGATGATATTTGATTTGTTGGATTGTCTGTCACCCGAATAGCAGAAAATTTTTAATATGTGAAACATTAAAGAAAAAATACATTTTCACAGACATTTCAAAGAGGTGAGTTCGGTTGAGAGAAAATGCCGGACATTAGAAGAAAGTAGAGTTACGAACTTAACGTTGAACGGCTCTTTATTTATACCCACGTATGTTGGGAACCAATTGTAACCGGTAATTAGATAATTTGAACTTATTACTTTAAGATTTTTTCAAAATATGGGTTGCACCGGCTCGAACGGGGGCCGTATTTACGGGTATCGCGGCCGCGTTTTGCCGGATTTCCTCGTCGGTGACGAGAGCTGTTTGGGTACCTCCCCGCTCAACAGCCAGCCGGATTCTCGTAGGCCTTGTCGGTAAACCTCTGTGGAAGACTTTGCTTTCCTAGCTTTTTCACGAGGATTCGGTAACCCCAGCCAGCTTCGCCCTCTGAGGTGGTCGTACTCGCCGGCGACGGCTCCCCCACTCCTCCGGCGACGCTGGAGCTGCCTTCGTGCCCTGATGCACGCACGTCTTTGCTCCGATATCTCTTCATTCCACCACACAGCGTCTTGTTCTCACTTCGTATCACATGCTCGTTAGATATGCCTCCAAACCTCCCGCGGCCCAGTGTCGTTGCGGTAGCGATTCGCTCAACCCCTCTTCTAGTAGCTTCGCGTTAAGCATATTGGAGTTCCATCCCCTCGATTGTATCCGCCTGGGACCTAGTCTCCGGTGGTCACATCTCTCGACCTTCCACTCTCCCACTACGGCCTGCGAAAGATTGTCAAGCGTGCTAACGAGGTTTATTTAACCAATCACGGTGAAGAGCAAAGCTTCTATGCTATATGCTATCTTCTTAAAATGAATAGAGTATAGTAGGATACCCTGCATGAACCGAAAACTGTACTTGTCAAAAATCCTCGAGTCGGGGAAAATAATACAGCTGCTGAACCTCAAAAGCTACCTCGAACCGTTGAGTGAGAAATACTCAATGCTCGAACTTTTTACTATTTGAAAGGTATTCAAAATTACAAGAACTTCGTTTGTAAGTAGTCGCCTGGACACGATGAAATCCTAGGTTTCAACTAACTAATCCTCATTATTTTGCGTGAGTCTAACATTCAATTAACAAACCTATTTGAATGTAATTTCATGATGAAGATGAATAACTCATTTCTATAAATTGAAATGAACACTGAAACCTACCTGGTCGGAAATATGTTTACGTTTACATAAATTATGTATGTAAAGCACAATTTATGGCACATGATTCAATTAAGGCATATTATTTATTGATTTTATGTCGACGGGTTCGCTTCATTTGCTATTTATTCACAGTATGTACTCGGAAATTTCTAAGTTAACCGATTTTTCATGAAATTTCTCGAAACCAATCATGTGCAAAAAAAAAAAGAAATTTAACGAAAAGCAAACAGCTTATGGTTAAATTTATTTACTACACTATTATATCTGAAAAAGCTGATGATGAGGGAATTCATAAAATGCTGTAACATAATGGCTTCATTATAGCGCATTCTGCTGAAAACGAATTTTTTCCAGAGGGTTAGTTTTTTATGATTTCGGATGTTTGTTTTATTACAGGCTCTCATTTTTAGCGCATTTCCCAACTCATGTTGGAAGGTGTTATTATGGCCTTAACTACTCCAAGTTTTCAATATATTTACTTTATTTTCGAATTCCGTAGCCCTGGCACCTGAGCGAGGAAAAATTTTGAAGATTAATGTGCGGATGCGCAAACTGCGCAATAGGAACTTCTTTGTTTATTTATTAATATATTCTGTTGAAATTGTAACCACCGATGCTTCTAGTAAAGACAAACATATCTCATATAGTAAAAATTAGATGTGCGCATGCCCACACACTGTGTAATGTCAACTTTCTTATGTATGAACATTTTTTTGAAATATTAACTAAAGAAGCTTCTACTAAAGTCAAATATATCGCATATTGTAAAAATTAGACGTGCGCATGCGGAGACTGCGCAAAGCCAACTTTATAGGCATTTCTTCGAAATTTTAAACATATGTTTCTAGTAAAGAAAAACAGCTCACATGGCTATGGCCTTTGGGGAAGTACTGACGAATGCATGAAAAATGCGCTAAGTTACTCGCCTTAGATCGAAAAATATTATTTTATTACTTTTTAACGTTGTCGGAAATTGTCGGTTGAAGTTAGGTACCTAATAAATTCTAGCGTCATAAATTTAATTTGATTTTTTAACTCCCATAATTGACTTTTGTCGTTGTTTCAGAATTATACACGAAAGTGGTTTCACGAGTGAAGATTTTAAACAATATCGGCCGGTTGTGTACAGCAATACGACCCAATCTCTTGTAGCAATTCTACGAGCAATGCCCAATCTCGGCATTGGTTATGGAAATAACGAAAGAGAGGTAAGCGCTTCAAATTATTCTTTCATTTATTATCTATTTTGAAAATGGGGGTGGTTGAATTCATTACTCAAGTGGAAGCAATTAAAACAATGGCCCGTATGAATAAAAGTAAGCAAATGCTTATACTTGCAAAATTCAAAGTAAATACTCGTAACTGGCCCTTCATACTGCTCTGTTTAGCATGGTTTAGCAGCGCTGCACTACGTCCTGTCCTTCTGTTTAGAAGCGCTGCTAAGTCGCCCAGTGCGAAGGAGGACTTATGAGTATTTACTTTGAATTTTGCAAGTATAAGCATTTGCTTACTTTTATTCATACGGGCCAATGCCAAACGTGACCCAAAGCAGTGGGGTGTATGTCCAGTGAAATGTTTGGAAGCATTTTGAAATTGGAAGGGAATCGTTTCATTAGGGATTCTCAATGAAAAAGGTGCCATACCCGTCTCTCAGTGGAGTTCCCAACTCAAATCCATTATAGTATTTTAAACAAAGCGTTTAGTGGTAGATACATTTCTGGAACAATAAGCAACGCAACCTGTCCAAAATTTTGGCATAACGTGCCAACAACCTGAATTGTTCAAATTCCAGATGGAGAGCGCAAGTAGTATATACTAAATTACGCACGGTGGACAACGTACCTTAAATAACTTATATATCAAGGTAGATAAGTGTCTCGCCCCCCTTCCCCACATATTTCTGTTGCGAAAGTAATAAGTAAAGTAAAATAAACGTTTTGACGTGTTCAAAACACGACCTAAAAATGTAGTAATACATTTAACTTCGCTGTCTCGACCTAACTTAATGTATAATAAATCGTTCTAGGTAAGACAACAATCACACTATTTTACTTAACCTTATTCTCAAAACATTCAACTCAAAACATTATATACTTAAAACTCTTTCGGGCATACTCTCCTCTACTCCTACAGGATTTGCGCTTTTGCGTGCGACACACTTCCTTACGTCGTTAAAATGGGAAATTTACTGTGCTTTACCACTTCAATTTCTTACCTTTCAACCGCAGATAAGCATACGCTGCAATCTGCCTGTAAGCCACTCGCTAAATCTGGTTATCTCCAAAATATCAACGAGTCAAGCGTTATCTATATTGCTCCAGGATGCCTCCTCCTCCTAAAACTAAATCCTAAACAAAAACATAGCAGAAATAGCAACCTTTAGTATTTAGGGCTATATATTACTTTTCCAAAAGGACATCAAAAGGTCTACTACCTACTTCGATCAAAACAACAATTCGATTAGGTACTTGATCACTCGTTGACCACAGCTCGAATCTCAGGCCCAACTTTGTATAAATCCCTAAAAAGCGTTATCTCGACCGTGTTCGGCAAGTTATAGGAATTATGCATCTACTTGAAGCATCAGCCATTTCCATACCTTTCACACCCTCCGAACACTCCTCGGTTGTTCTTCTTTGTTGCAAAGTGATGTGCTTATGGCGTTGTAGCTAACAGACAGCTTACTCGATCATGATAACATTTACGCACAGTGACCTCTGAAGTACCTACTCACTCAACTCGCGCGTACGCTGGCCCACTGTGGTAACCTCCAAGGTGTGTAGTTAATTTTTGACCTACCCTGGTACAAAAGAGCCAGGAAACTTAGAACCTAATGCCGATTCTGGCAAACTTTTATCTGAGTACTGCGCATGCGCCAATTTCAAAGTTGAACCAACCAAATCACTGACGGTCATCGTGGTTGTTGTCCAAACTAATAGGTCTGTTTAAGAAAAAGAGGTATGTTCATCAGTTTCTGTTAAACAGACCTGTTAGTTTAGACACCAACCATGATGACCTTCAGTGACTCGGCGCATGCGCAGTAGTTCAACTTTGTAATTGGCGCATGCGCAGAACTCAAGGTCAAAGTGTGCCAGATCCGGCCTTACTATATTACTAACGTACACCTCCAGGTGCAAAAAAGGCGCCTTGAAATAGGATGGTGGTCGGGTCGCACCCGACCGTGGTCAACCGGAAGTGACATAACAATGAAGATGTTAGCGAATAAAATGTGGCATTAATTGTGGGCTGTAAATTGCCGTCACAAACAGGTGATAGTTCTGCACTTAAAATATCTGTATGGCTAAAATACAATCCCAGGAGATCCTCCGCGAATTAGTCAGATAACCTTCGAGTAGGTGTGGTGTTGAAACCTTTTGCATTGTGTTCATTAATTTATACGTAGTGCATGTGTCAACTCATGACACATTCTAACATATAATTCAAACTAAACTAAACTTATTATTATTATTAAGAAAAAATCAAAAATGTAACCTTGCAGTGGTTAACTATGCCTTTCTGCAAAACTCCGTCTTCCACATTTCAGTTCAGTTTACTTATAACGCCATATACGAGAAACCAAATGCCTACGACATTTACACTTCAGGTTACCCTGAGATTCACGTTACAGTATCTGTGACCACCCATTTTGTAATAAAAGCATTGGGCTAATATCAGTTATTGTGCTGTATGATCTAACTAAGGAAAACTTCCTTATCTATACCGGTGAAAGCTAATAAAATACAGGGTAGGTTGCAATTTCGTTGAAAATATTTTTAGGTTGTAGCCTTAAGAGTCTTACACGACATGCTCCGAGAATGAATTTTAAATATGTGTGTTAATAGTTTGTTCAAATACTTTATTATACAATGCGTCAGAGAATCTACAGTAATTGCGCCATTTGTTACAGATTGACGGTAAGATGGTGTTCGATGTGATTCAGCGTATGGAAGACACGGAGCCATTTTCAGAAGAACTGCTAGCCGCAATGAAACGACTGTGGGCCGACACTGGTGTTCAAGAATGCTTTGGTCGATCAAATGAGTATCAACTAAACGATTCGGCTAAATAGTAAGTGTCTCAGTTTGATATTGAAAAATCATTTTTTAATAATTAGCTTCGGATCACTGTTTTTGTACCCTGAAAAATTCGTTACACTAACGTCTTTCTCAGTTTCTTAGATGATTTGGATCGACTAGGCGCTAAAGACTATCAACCTACAGAACAGGATATTCTTCGCACCAGAGTAAAAACGACTGGAATCGTAGAAGTACATTTTTCATTTAAGAATCTTAATTTTAAGTGAGTATATCCTGAATATTACAATAGAAATATTTATAGTGTGATCATCACTATCTGTAAGTAACGTATTGCTGAAACTTTATTACTCTTGCAACGTGTACCAGCCCAGGAAGCGAGAATTTGACATTTTTTCAAAATGAATATTCATCTTCATTCGTTTGTATGTTGGTAATACAAATTTTTGAAACAACAATGCAAAATAGTACCTAGTAGACGTTCAATTTTGCTTAATGTACGTTTATAAAATATTTTTTATTATACCTGAATCACAATCTCCGTTTTAAACACTCAAATGCGTGCGAAAAAGGGCCTTTAAAACACACGTGCTTTAAAGTTGCTAAGTTGCTAAGTAACGATACTTCAAGTATGACTTTTGAAACTGTCATCTGGATGAAATAAAAAAATCCTCTTAGGTCGCTTTCTGTAAATGCAGAACATTTCTTTGGCTTTTGTACCTATCCTTTGGTTGAAGCTTTCACAAACGCGCGTAATTTAGGGTATGCTTCCAAATCTGTTCCACTTTTTAATCGCAGCATTGCTTTAAAGTTTTGAATGAATGCACCAAAATATAGAAGATTTAAATACCTTTGACATTTCCTTCATATATGCCAGCATTATCGATGCATTTAAGACTTTATTCGTAAGTAACTTCCTATTCATCCATGGAAACAACTTTTCATATTCTTTGTAATAGGCTTTACTGGAGTTGGATTTTACACCTACCAACGTTTGTTTAGATTTTACAACAACCGATTTAATGGACGGTGTATTATCTTTTTCAACGGAAATCGTTTAATTCACAAAGACGATGATTTTTATAAGCAAACGTCAAGTGACATTTCCATGGAAATCGTGAAATTACGAACACCCAGCCCACTTAATTAGACATGTATTCGAGTATAACGTCAATATGACTTCATTGTATTTCCTATTTTCAAATTATACTGCAGGTATAATAAAAAATACTATAAGATACACGTGCATAATTGGTCTTTAAAGCACTTGCAACGTTAAAGGCACTCCGCTTTGCGTCGTGCCCTTAAACTCGTTGCGCGTGCTTTAAAGACTTGATTATACACTTGTATCTTAATATACTATAAAAAATAGGGAGGTTATTGAAATCACTCCAAATTTCGAATTTGAGATTTCACCGAATCTTTATATAGCTACGTTTCAGAAGGTTCCCCAGGAGTCGAGAAATGTGATAAAAAAATGTTTGTATGTACGTATGTGTGTATGTATAATGTACGTGTGAACGCGGCATGATTCTTGTAAACAAGGTCAGTCGAAACTATCCAACCGATTAGTTCAAATTTGGGACAGATGTTCCCTTAAATGGTATTGAGAGCTGAAAAGATTTGGGAAACGATTCGAAAATGGCAAATGCTACCTGATGTTTGGGAATAAAATCGATAATTATTGAATTACGTATAACTTTGTAAGGAGCGGACCGATTTGGCTGAAATTTTATACCAATGGTCTCTCTAATGGTAATTTTGGAAACGATTGGAAAATCCTTTCGCTATAAAACTTTAAAACTTATTATTTATTTGAATAAAGTATAACCAACAAAATTTATATTAAGAAATGCCGTGGAAGTTTTAGGTCGCGTCTAATATTTATTATTTATTAATTTGGCAGCTCACGTTAAGAAATGATTACCTAGTGACTAGTGAGTTGATTGTGTTATTAAATAGAATTTGGTGCGATTGGTGAGGCTGCCATTTTTAAAAGATGAATTTTGTATTAGGAGAACTTGAAATGTCAGAAAGTGTCATACTTACACCTTCTAGCATTTCTGTGATCCTGATACAAAAATTGTCAGAGAGGAACTTTTTATTAGGTGAGTATTTTAATAGGAGACGGTGTCGTTGAATGATTTCCTATTTGCACCTTACGCGTGTCTACCCTAATTGGATAATTAGAACTACAGTATTAGAACATCAAAATTGTTTACGGTCATTAAACAAACAAATTGCAACAAATTCCAACAACTATAAAAGAAAAAGGTGTAAGAGGACACACTGGGGTTCCAATTTTATTGTACGACAATTTATTTGGGGTCAAAGTAATGTCCACTGAACAGCTCACAGCATCGTACGCCCTTCCGTTACCCAAGAGGCTTATTGTGTGTTTTATTTAGCTCACGGAAACGTCATACTTTGCCCTCAGGGATTTGAAGTTCATTGATTTCGTCAAACTAAGAGTTACTTTTGAATAATGATATATAAACCATCAAATCGAAACTTCCGGCATAATATACAGCTACACGATCAGACACATTCTTTTCTGTTATTGTGATCTGGAAGTCATTAATATAGCGATCAAGCGGCGACATCATTAGATGAAGTTTACGAGCAAGCAATAATCCTGTCAAAGTGTAATGCTTTAACTTAATACACTAAAGGCGGTTTGCATCAAAATAGCGAAATAATCTGGATTGTCGTAAGAGAGTGCTCACAATGAGCGATTGGGACGCCTAATAAAAATATATCCATTGGTGATGTCAAAACTTTAAGAGCGAATATCTTGAAAGCCGTTTGTCGGAGGAAAGTTGTCTCAAAGGCAAAATGAATCCACTATCTATCCAGAATGGAGTGTCGAAGTGTCCCCTTTAATCATTTACCAAGAAAGCAAACATCTATAGCATGCTACTACCAATGCTACTACCTTATGACTCAACCAAGCGGTTTACTAAAATTCGCGGTCGGCCGCTTGAACTGTTAGACTTTTTGACGTTTTTGCTTACCATACGCGCGCTACTTATTAAACGCTCACGTAACAGTATTCTGATGATCACACCATAAACATATTTGGTTAAGTTTTAGGTCGTGTTATTTACCTACTCATGACATATTTTATAGGCTATTTGACGTCGGAGGTCAGAGATCGGAAAGGAAAAAATGGATTCATTGTTTCGAAGATGTTACGGCGATTATTTTCTGTGTAGCTATGTCAGAATACGACCAAGTACTTCACGAGGACGAAACGACTGTGAGTACTTGCATTTTTATTTACTCATATTTCTGGAAGACTTTGTGCGCATGCTGTCGACGAGAATATGTTGAAATTCTATCCAATGAATGAAACTTTCTCGTTTCAGAATCGAATGCAAGAAAGTTTGAAGCTTTTTGACTCCATTTGCAACAACAAATGGTTCACAGACACATCCATAATCCTTTTTTTAAATAAGAAAGATCTATTCGAAGAGAAAATTAGGAAATCGCCTCTTACCATTTGTTTCCCAGAATATGCAGGTGAGTGATTTGATTTTTTTAGTAGAATACGGAAGTCATGACAACAATATTATGATTCTAAATGGATCGCACTTTATTCACTTTGAACCTGCTAAATATTCAGCAGGGATTTACCTACGTTACCTACAAAGAGGATTTGATTAGTAGTCGTTTTACTGAATGGGGTGGCGTACGAGAACACTAAAGATTAATATTATCCTTGTTTAAATTCCACACACATTCACCATCCTGGTTTAAATTTTAAAATATTTTACATTAAAAGGCATAGTCCCATTTTGGATCTGAGCATGTACTGTACCGTATCTGTCGTAGAAGCGCGCAAACCAAGTTTCATTGTTGTTTATAAATTTCCTTCGCCCTTGCAGACTCAGTCTATTGTAACGGTTTGTTTCACGGCTGCTAAATTAGTAAATTTTAATTGGAGAGATTGTGGCGAAGTTTCTAATTTAACTCGGCCGTCAAACAAAACAAGAAAATTCGGTTTAACTTGTAAATGTAGCTACCGTGCAGAATGTTATTACTTACGAAGACCTTTACTGTCAATACCCTTTGTAGTATTGTGGTGGCATGGTAGATTAAATTAGGAATTTCATAATACGTTTTATCACAATTAGAGCACGAGGATGGTCGATGGCATCCTGTGGTTAGGGAAAGGGAGATTAATATTAAATTTATCTAACCCAGCAAGAAAAAAAACAGCCCTTCAATAGTTCACACGTAACACTAGTTCTTGATACAAAATTCCGCAAAAATTGTCGAGATACTAACGCGCTTTAAATTTAATAAAGCTTTTTTATGTTAATTTGTTACTTTAATGTAAAGTGGTTTTTTGTCGCACCTTCATCAAAATAAGCTCATTATCATGTAATCAATTTAATGTGATTCTTTTATATTCATGGAATAAGTGTCGGATATAAAGATTAATTTCTAATGACATGTACCTAATTAGAGATTCATTTCATTATAAGTATTATATCTGGATTATTGTAATTATGTGGGTATAGAAATGCTATTGTAATGTTATCAATTTAGTGAAGGAAACTCTGTTATATTCCTTGAGTAGGTATACGTTTTAGATTGTTATGCTTGGTTACAATAATTGTAACGATAAAATAAAACAAGTAAAAAAGTAATCGCAAACGATTTACAAAAAGTGCATTTCCACTTGCATTAATTTCCCATTTGTAAAAATCCGGCCAAAAATATGAAAGATAGTGAAACATCGTGCAATCCATTTTTGACGTGCTACTTCAATTTCAGTTTATAAGAAGAATTTCGTTTCAATGCTTTCATAAATAAGAAAATTGCCACTGCGCATGCGCAAACCTAATTTTGAAACTAACGTTTGATTTTCCTTTATTCCAATCACCTATGTATCAAATTTCATTTAAATGCTTTCATAAATAAAAAAAGTTGGCACTGCGCATGCGCAAAACCAAATTTTGAAACTGGCGTAAAATTTTCATTTATTCCAAGTGCCTATGTATCAAATTCTTCCATAAATAAAAAGTTGGCACTGCGCATGCGCAAAACCAAATTTTGAAACTGGCGTTTGATTTTACTTTTTGCCAAGTGCCTATGTATCAAATTTCATTCAAATACTTTTATAAGTAAAAAAGTTTGCAATTCGCGATGCGAAAAGGGCACTGTGAATTTTGAATCGATTCGACTCAACTTTTGCAGATAAAAGAAATCAAATATCAAAATATTTATGTACATTCAAAATAAAGTCAATGCCTGCATTTCATTGCCATCCCTCTTCATGTTAATAGCAGAAAACCAATGTTAATTTCTTCTTCGGAGATCAGTGCTTAAGTTGTACAACTATAACTGCGTGTCCAAGATAAGGATGTACATGGGTATCTCAGAAACCATAGAGGATACGAAGACGATCAAATTAGGGAAAATTTTCGCAAGTAAAGAGTTATAATATCATGTTATGTACAGGAAACCAGAAAATTCCGATTTCTTTCGAAGATATGCCAGAAAAACCGAAATTCACCCATTTTGTTTTTATTTTTTTATTATGTTTTTTAAACAGATACAAAAAAATCATTAAATTAGTACACATTAAACTAATTACTAATTACGTAGAACTGTTACTTTTTTATCACACTAAAGAACTTTCAATTCTTATTGCCGTGGGTATTAAGATTACCTGAGGTAGTGCCGTAGTGGAGAGACGAATGTATTGCAGAGTTGAAACCTTCTGGACCTCATATCTTTTTCCATGAGTTCAATTAATGGAATTAACTAATCATTTTTTTGAGACCATATTTGATATTTCTGCTGAATTGTTTCACAAGAAGTTGGTACTTGCTTACCAGTATAAGCATGCAGGCAGGCCAAGTATATTGCTGTGTTATTTTGTCTGGCAGGACGAAATTTTGGGATTCTTAACTAGAATGGACAAGGGCGGTTTCAATGTAATTAATTTTTTCTACAACTGTCAAAAAAACCTGTCATTTTCTGACGGATTTCGAAACGCGAAGTACTAGATTTTTTAACGGTTAATTAATAAGTAAGGTGCTATTGACAATGTGCGCGAAATCGTCAACAGTGAAAAAAAGTATTTCGCGCACGTGACAAAGTTGAACTTAAACAGCAAATTTAATTAACAATCGGTTCAGTTACAAAAAATATTGCACATAACGCTAGCGCGAAGTTATTTCGCACATTTGACTGATATTTTGACTCGACTTCGCCTTGTCAAAATACCTTCAGTCTCAATGCGCGAAATTGAACTTCGCGCTCTTGTTATATAAATAACTATTTTTTCATAATCTAAATTTTTGTTTTGTATCGTTCGTTAAGTACATCAACAGAAATTATTGTTACGAAAAAGAGGTCAAGGTTTGTATTGTTTACATTTTAATCTCATTTTTGATTTTATTTAACGTAGATTTCTGAGAATTTTATATCGCTTTTATTCTGTTATCATTGTAAACGCTTAATTTAATTGACAGGTGGATGTTATTTATCGCCTTTTCTTTGTATTTAAAAGACAGAAAATTCTATTTTTCCTAGAATTTTAAGCTTTGTGTTATCTCTTAATGTCGGTTAAAAATTGATTATAAAAATAATTTCTACCTCTAGTTTAACTTACGTTAGTGGGGAAATTTTCTGTTGTCAACTGCTTATCATTGGCTGTTTTAATTTATAATTTTGGAAGAAGGGTTTCCACCTTAAATAGAACGGACTGAGAAGACGAAGGGCTTTTTGCCAGAGTCAACGCAGAACTACGTTTCTTTGTTTTGAAATTAGCGTCTTGAGAGTTTGAAAGCAGATCCACATTTGCTGAAGTTTGAAGTTGTTTTGGGAGTTTTGCCAGTTCGTTGCCAGTCAGTTTGTTTATCTCGCAGAGTTACCGCAGTAGTTTGGATTGTGTAGACACCAGCCAGTTTTGGAAGTTGGTGGAGTTTCTTTGTTTTGAAATTAAAGTGCGTCACTAAGGGGTGGTCGGCGCCGACTTGATTTGAATTTTGTTGTTTTTTTTTTGTATTTGGGAAGCAGTTTTGGACAGGTCCATTGTTTGTGTCTCTTGTAATGTTGCTGTAATTTTTCACAATAATTGCTGTGTTTTGTCTTTCGAACGATTTCATTTCCTTTAATTTACTGTTTTCTTTGAATACCTACTTGCCCAAGGTCCATTTTATTTAATCAAAATTCTTAGGATCGATTTGGGATTTAAGGTATTTGGTCTAACCCACTATCTGGTAGAAGTTAATGGTTTAACTGAGAAAAGAGTCGAATTCCTCCTCTGTGCTGGGGAGAAGTTATGCTCCGGGGAAGATAAAGTTTTGAGCTAGCTAGGTTTGTTTAGGTGCTTTGTGTACGGCCTTTTGGCCTACGGACCGATGCACACAGCATTTTTTATTTGGCGCTCAACGTGGGGCCACAGCAATATTTATCCAATGCGCAAATTTGCACCTATTTATTCTTCATAGGTCATTTAAATGAAATAGGTGCGAACGTAATAAGGAAAGGTAAACGGCAAATTATTACTTTTCTTTCTACTCCCTCTGTCACAAAGACAAGTTTCGCATTTTTGCATCTATCATCCCTTTAAGTATGTTTTAGTTCATTCTGTTCATAGAAGAATAAAAGTGCCAACAGATACAGACAATATGGAGGGTTGGAAATCTATTGCCATACTTTTATAGTGATAATGGAGTAACTACTTCTAACCGACAAGGTCGCATTTAGCGTTATGCCGTCTTTAGTGCGATGCTGGGTGCGACCATTGTATTTATAAACGTTTATTAAAGCAGGTTATTGCAAAAACAATTGAACGCCCCACACCATCTTTGTTTTTGAAATAACTGAGTTTTTGTTTTTACGAAAATGATAGATAAACTGGTTCTCTTTAAAAATGTGAAAAACATTTTTTTAGTTTATTATGCGAATTTAAAGAAAATGCAATTTTAAAATTTATGATTGAAGTTACGCCCTCTGTTGGACATTTTTAGAACTTGACATTTTCCAGTGATTCTTCATGACCGATTTACTCTAATTTTTTTTACCCCTAAGTGACCTAAGTTATACGACGAACGGTTCCCGAGATATGGCCGAGGAATAGTCTTATTGGCCCTAGCTAGAGCCTATAGACTCTACTCAGCAAAGAAATCAGATATCATCCTAAACGTCTAAAAAATATGATTTAATTAATTATACATCGTTAATTGCCCCGTCGGAAAAAGGGGGCCACTCCTGTTTATTGCACATTTTCTTGATTTCCCTCTAGCCCCTCACACCTTTTTCTGCGGACTTTTATACTAGAAAGCACTCAAACAGTAGAAAATAAAAATAACTTTTGACAACATTAATTACTTATTTATTTTCTATCGTTTGGTGTCCCATATTTAAAAATAAGTTCTTATATCTGTCTCTAATTAAGCATTTGAGAAGTAGAGCAATTCAATTATCTTATAGCGTTTTCGATTGGCAAAACTCGTACTGCACGAGTGTTGCACGAGACACTGAAGAAATCCATGTGAAAATTGCTCTCAATGGAACACAAATATTCGTAAATATTTGTTGTCATTTGTCCATAACCTCATTTTAGATTTAGGTAATCGACAAATCTCTATTCTATAAAAAATGACAAACGATTTCAGTATTATTTATGATAAACGATGAGGATTATAAATTTGAAATTCCTGTAAAGGACCAATTTTTGGCTTTCAGTTTAATGAATAAGTGCAACTTTTTGTAAAATAGAAGTTATGGCTAGTTCATCATCTTCGCTATCGCTAGATGACGACAAAAAACTCTCCCAACGCAAGAAACAAATTCAAATTGCCGCACGTTTGTTTTGAAAATTTGTTAACTAGCAGCTCCACGAGCTCTCGGACCTCGTGCGTCGAAATTTGCACTGAATGCGTAATTGTTGCATCACATTTGCCAATGGAACACAGAAAATTGCCCTAAAATTAACAATAGAACGTAAAAATTGCACTCGTGCAGCACGAGTGTTGCCAATCGAAAACGCTATTAGAGAACCCCTAGGAATTTGATTACATTTGTAATGTAACCTAGTGCTACTGCGTTGAATAATCACAATAATGATACCTATCTGTCTATGTTTAAAATGGAGGACATCTAAATACCCCTCATTCAGTAATATGACAAAAAAGCGACATGGGTTTCACACATAATAGGGCAATAATATGCATATTGAGCATTCGAAAAATCAAAGCTGGATCGTACCGGCGTAAGTTCTTCCAACTTTCCACCGAGTTATTTTGAGGGTTTCGAAATGGTCTCTCTATGATTTTTTAACAAATAGGTACATGCTCCATTTAGATCTGTGATAAAAAATGGTTGAGGTTTTTGCCAATTTCCACAAAATAAGACCTTATTAAAGTAAATTAAGCGAAACATTTTGAATGATTCTAAAAGAAATTACTTTTGTAGTACCAGGTAAATAAACCTATGGATATGTTTTCAGGTGCTCAAGAGTATGGTGAAGCTGCAGCGTATATTCAAGCGCAATTCGAAGCAAAAAATAAATCCACAACTAAAGAAATTTACTGCCACATGACTTGTGCAACGGACACGCACAACATACAATTTGTGTTTGATGCCGTCACGGACGTCATTATTGCCAATAACTTGCGTAATTGCGGCCTCTACTGAACACCCTGTGTTTATTATTACTTTTTCTCAAATTACACACAGGACTGTAGTCGGTGGTTCATAATTCAAAAATTTGTAAGTGATCGATATACTTATATTATATGTAACATGGTAAGTTGGTTTTCCAAATTGAACATTTTCACTCTCTAAATTTAAGTGAACTACAAATGTGACCGAAAATGTACTAAAGTACCAAAGCTCGAATAGTGTTCTTTTCGTGTATCATTAATTAATTTATTTAATCGGAGAAACATTAAAAGCATTCAAAATTTAGCGGTAGCTTTATTGTGCTTGCTGTAAAGGTTGTAAAGGGCGTATTTGTTGTTTACAATGTTGGGAAAATTATCTATACAGTGTCGATTATTTTACAAATTGATCCTATCACACAAAATTTTACAGATGCCTATCGCTACGACTATTTTTCTTATTTAAACCGTGTGACGCACATTGAGCACAATATTTAAAGCCCGACATTGTTAAACAAGTGATAAAAATAAATGTGTAAACGATGAATGAACGTATTTTAAGAATGAATGTAAATGTCGTGCCATAGAAACCAAATGCATTTATTAACATTAGCTAGTACTAATTATGTTTCCTTTAACACATTTTTCGATACAAGATATTGTGAGATGCGAAACACTACCTACCATTAAAATTTTAGTTGTTACGACAACACCAAAGCTTTTTTCTAAAAGATATATAAGAATAATCAATCACACCATTATTTTTCCGATTGATCCAAATTCAGCACTTTGTGAACCTCTTCAAGCGTTTAATACTGTTCGTGTAATTAAACTATCAAATTATTGTGTAAATACAAACAAATATATGGAATTAGTAATAATGTAGCAACATTTAGAATGTCGTCATATATTATTTACATTTTTTAAATCGAACATCTTCTTTACTATTTTCTTCTTCTTATACTTATAATTAACATTCCTTTTTTTGACACCTAGATTGTAAATATTTTATTTTTGCTATTTTCGCATTTTGAGAAGTACATATACAAAGTGTGTGTTATACAATAACGATTGGTATTACAAAAGGAAATGCTTAGCTCAAATATTTACAATAAACTATATACCTACAATTTTAGTCTGTGCAGTTTTTAATATAGCAAAAGCGTCTAAAAGCAGCACATTTCACCTAATATACCCATGTGCCCCGAAACACCACAGTTAATCGATGACATCCACCTGGTTCGACGATTTTGTGAATTAGTGATACGCCAATCATTACGGGCTATAAATTATTGTTCTGATTTGTCCATTATTATGTGAATATAACCTTTCGTTGGCACACAAAAAGCTCATTATCGCAACAAAATTGGGCCAAAAGTTTGTAAATAGTATACTATCAAGTCATATGCTTGTGCCATACTTTTTAAAAAGGCTGTAGTAGTTAGAACCTCTTTCACAAATCTATTGTTTTGTTATTTTGAAATTTTAATCATGGTTATTATTTGTACTAGATATATAATCAGTCATAAATGTTTGAAAACTTGTGGAAAATTATGTAACTTATAAATAACGCAAAAATTAGGTACATAAGCGAATTTTCCAAAGTTATCATTTGTTGCAATGTGAAACTGAACTTTTGTATTGTAATAAATATTAGTATTAAGTTTCTCAATTATTAATTAATATGACTTTTGCATTTATATCACACACTATAATGTTCTTAACACTCTCTACTAATAATGCTTAATGTTATGTATTTCTCTGCTTTAAAAAGAATGTTATTAATCATCATGTACATAGCAGTATTGTTGTGTATTTGAGAATTAATGACGTGATATTTCTAGTCAAATGTTTAGTTCATATTTTGGCTATATGTTTTGTATTCAATTTAAAGGGTGAAATAAAACAGTATGTAACATGCCATTGTTTTCGTATTATAAAAACCGTTATCATAGATGGAATCCTTCTTTCTCGTGACGTTTACATTTAAAGATAAACTACACTACAGTGTATTTTATATCTACACCGCTAGTGAAAATGTAGTCCAAAGTGGACGTATTTAAACCTTAAACCTAGGAGACAAAGTACCATAAATATTTATAATTTACACAATTTCGTGAGCTGTATTTCTACTTTTGCTACAACATTCAGTAATTCTTATTTAGCTGGTCTGTTACATACTAATTTTGGAACATTTCCATGTCCATGAATAAATTACCCATAACTATAGAATGTTGAAACAGTTAGTTCCACGTAAAAATTGGTTGATTGAATTGTTGCTTAGTTATAAAATAATTTATATAAGGTAATTATTATAAAGATAATAATAATATTTCAGTGCTAGGTTTCGCAAATGAATAATGTACATGTTTTCCAATATCAAGTAAATGTAACATTCATAACAGAGATTATTCTCTCATTGTATGTTTCTCTGTGATGTGAATATGAAATAAATTTTACCAATTTCGATACTTTTTTTCATTAAATTAACAAAATTTATACTACTATTACTAAAAAAACGTAATACACAAGCAGGATAGGTACACAATAAACGTTCGTCTGTTAATTATTTTGGCAATAAGACCCATGGCATGATCTATTTGGTCCACTTTCATTCAAATCCTTTTCGACTTGGTCCCGCATGTCTGATAAGGGTAACTTGATGTAGTTCTCCTGGCAATAAGACCCATGACATGATTTATCTGATACATCCTCATTCAACTCCTTCTGCACTGCCTCCCGTATAATCCGCAATGGTAGTGCCTGAGTGTAAGCTGCAAAATCAGGTAAGTAATTCCTGATATTTTACTAGTAATAGTACTTACCCAGCAAAGTGACAAATAGTAATATTACCAACATGTGTTTTTTTAAACCCATAATTTATTACGTCGCCGGTACTTTTCTGTGTGCAAATAAACTTTTTATGCTATAACATCGTAATTTCTGTCTATATATAAATTCCTTATCAAACAGTTCAATTAATTATCACTGAATATTTTGTAATTGGTACAATTTGGATTAATATTTATGATTCATTATAAACATTTTATATACCTACCTACGCATTACCCTTCCTCATATTTGTTGCAAACATTTTTGAGAACTATATCTTTAGATGGAGAAAGAATTCATTGGTACTTACCAATTTCCAATTAAATGTTTTTTCTTGGAAACACCTCGTTAGATAACACCGGTTTGGAGAACGTTTACATTATACAAGGTGTTCCTAATGATCTACCCCCAAAAACTGTTTTGACAAAAAACTAAAACCGGTCTATTTTTTATACCGAGAGCGCCAGCGGCCAATTTTTATGCAGAAATAATTCTTTCAACTTTAACACTGTACTAGGATTTAAATTCCAACAAATTTTTAAATGGGACGAGCGTTAAGTTACTCACAGGCGACACAACGGTTTTCATTTATTAAATCGGCCAAGTTACAAAATTTAAAAATCAAAATGGCCCAAAAACGTTCAAACTAACGAATGTATGCTTCTAAATGAGCTCCAATAACTGCCACACAATAATATACAATCTTGACTGAAACCCAGATCTTACCTAATTACCTACAATCATTTGTTTCTTATTTAAGATAAATTGAATAATCAATATTTTTTAAATGCAAATTAAAGGTTAAATTTAACTATTATCCTATATTTCTCAAGACTTTAAATGGCAAGTTGTAGGATTCGAACTCACCATCTGTGACTTGTGTGGTTAGACTCCGAGTCTTAAACCGTTACACCAAAGTGACCATAGAGTATAGACAATGATCAGCACAGACCGCCGGACAGATGGTCCTAATGAGTAAAATTTACTCATTTAGTCCCTTGACCTGTGACCATTTTCTATCTATTACTGAAAATAGAATTAGAAAATTCGCAACAACCGTTCGTGAGTTATCGCCTTCGTCGATTATTCAACCAAACAATCTACGTTTTCGCTACGTACCGTTTGTTTATGGCGCCTTCGTATAAGAAGACCTACTTCGAAACAACAAGTTCTTTATGCTTTACTCTACTTGTATTTTTAATCGATAAACACCTTAATCATTATAGTATCGATTTCAACATTCCCCTTATACAAAAGCATAGTAAGCAATTACATACATACAGTACAGTCCACAATATCGCAATACAACTACAATAAGTAGGTATTTTAAGGAAAGGACTCCTATGCTGTGTGATTGTACGAGTATGACGGTTCCTTTGTATGTTGGGACGTGAGACACAATCGTGATGGGAATTGATAAGACTTAGATAAGAAAATGAAATAAACCAACTACGTCAACAAAATGAAAACAAAATGCGCCAATCAAACACGCAGTTAAACAAATTAATATATAAATCGACTCGAGACGCGAGTCGCATAATAAATACAAGTCGAAAATAAGATAAGTCAATAAACCGATACAACGAAATATCGAAGGATCCTCAGTATTACAATCACTTTTAACGACAATTTATTTTAATCTTACAAAATACATTTTATAGTTAACAAAAATGCATCAAATTCACGTCTTGGGCTTTGAGATAATGCTCTTGGTTTTTTTCCCAACGATCTTGGTGCATAAATAACGATTTTGACATGTTTTGATCAAAATCCATGTGGTCCATAAAAATAGATCAAATTCATGTTTAGATCATTGAGATAATGCTCTTGATCTTTTTTCCAACGATCTTGGTGCACAAATAACGATTTTGACATGTTTTGATCAAAATCCACGTTTTCGCCAAAAATTCATCAAATTCATGTCTTGGGCATTGAGATAATGCGCCTAGTCTTTTTCCCAATGATCTTGGTGCATAAATAACGATTTTGACATGTTTTGATCAAAATCCACGTGGTCGCCAAAAATGCATCAAATTCATGTCTTGGGCATTGAGATAATGCGCTTAGTCTTTTTCCCAACGCTCTTGGTGCATAAATAACGATTTTGACATGTTTTGATCAAAATCCACGTGGTCGCCAAAAATGCATCAAATTCATGTCTTGGGCATTGAGATAATGCGCCTAGTCTTTTCCCAACGATCTTGGTGCATAAATAACGATTTTGACATGTTTTGATCAAAATCCACGTGGTCGCCAAAAATGCATCAAATTCATGTCTTGGGCATTGAGATAATGCGCGTAGTCTTTTTCCCAACGATCTTGGTGCATAATTAACGATTTTGACATATTTTGATCAAAATCCATGTGGCCTCAGAAAAATAATTTAACATTTTTGAATCACACACATGCGGTTATCAAACGTGCACGTTATCAACTCTTTCAGCATCAAGATAATGCGTTTGAAAGCTTTTACAACTCTAAATTCATGTGTAAAGAATAATTTTGGGTACATTTTGCTCTAAAACTTTTGACCGAGACCACAGAGAAGAGTTATATTGAATTGTTACACATCTAAGAGTCATAGGGAATAATCTAGCGAAAGTCCGAACTCGATACATGACCTAGGGAATGAAATATGTTAATTTTTATTATATTGAGTTCGCAGTTTTTCCTGTTCCCGATTCACTCGAAGTCGTATAACTTTTGTTCCTGTTGAACCAGCTTCCTGAAAATCAATAGCGTCCGTTCTTAATGTCCAACGTACCCGTATACCAAATTTCAACACAATCGGACACTTTTAAAAAGAGTTAGAGCGCACACGGACGGACGGACGGACGGACGACAATACAAAACTATAAAGGATCTGAGGATCCTTAATAAACTGTCAATTTAGTACAACACGGCAACACATCTACGATTCAATTTAGAAAAAAAGAATTCCCAAATAATCAATTGATTGTACAGAGTGAGTCAACAATTGCGCGGAGTAACTTAATGCCTTGAAGATAAGATTTTTCGAGAGAGTGCTTTTGTATTATGATATGGGTGAATATTCTCCACATTTTAAAAATATTTGGAATTATACAGGGTGCGCCCACAAAGTAGGAAAAAATGAATAGAAAGGAATTGGTTTAGAAACGAATTTTCTATAAGATACAGTTGGTTTGGAACGTTCATTTTCTAATATTAATGGAAAAATGGAATTTGTTATTTAAGTAAAATTCATCCTATCTTTTTGAAAATCGTATTTGGTCACTTCTTTTGATAACAAAATAATATGACAAACCCGATCTCCGTAGGTATCATAGTCATTGATTAATTAAAAAAAACAAATTAAAATAATGATGCTTTGTCTGAAACTGGACTCCCAGAGCGTTCTCAATTTTTTTACAGATGGTGAAAAACACTTGTGCAACAATTGTCCTGATGATTCTTGCAAATCGACGGACTTTGATGAAACTTTGACATGTCCAATAACCGGTGATCGCAAGCTAGAAAAACTGTTTTATATTTTCTTTGTGCGGAGTGGAACGCGTCCCGAACGTTTCATTGAACGCGTACTTTTGGAAGTAGACTGGTTGTGGCGTTGCGCATTTGCGTTTGTTGTCAGTTTGACTTTTGACCGTATGTTTACGTTTATTTTCAGTTAAAAATTTTAAATTTCAAATCTCTTCATGAAAGTCGTAAAATAATGTCCTTATGTTACTCTTATACGCCGAATTATTTCTCCATTGAGGACATTCTCGTTACGCAGGAACGGATACCGTCCAAATTTTTGGTTAACGTTCCAAAACTTGGTAAGTTTGGCATATTGAAAACAATCTTTTTTGATTTACCTAATCATTCAAGGAAAACTAAATCCGTCTGCGGAAGAAAATGATATTAAACAAGGAACTGCACTCGATTTACCTTTTTGGTTAGCGGATCCCTTGTCATTTGCACGACACCCTCTGATATCAATCGAGCTACCTCGTGTTTACAAAGAAGCCTATCGTGAAATTTTGAAAGCCGATGCGACAGCAGTAGATTTGCATAAGCTCGGTTTATATTTCTATGAGCTAGGTTTATATGTTAAAAGATTAGATCCACGCCGAGAAGTCGAAGCAATCTTGTTACACGTAAGTACAACAAAACGACTGCAACGTTTAAGTCATAAAATATTGCAGACTTTTCGATCACGATTCAAAGAACTAATGGATTTTGCTGATGATGTTGTATGCGATCCGGTCAAACAAAACCGGTTGGATATGTTTGAAAGAACACTCTTCCAGAAGGCTCATTTTAGTAGGATGCAATTGAAATCATGGCTTAACAATTCTGAGATGCGATTAGAAGCCGCTACTATGGTTATTAATCATAAAAAACGTAAAAGAATTGATGTTGACGACTTGTTTTAGATTAGCTACTTCTATTTTTCTGTTATAATTTTTCCATCAAGTAATTACAATTCATTATTTATTGATTTCCATAAATAGTACTAAAAGATCGAAAATCCTTTATTGTAAATATGTATCGCTAATGTTTCATTAAAAAGTATATAATTTTAATTCTGTACCATTATTAAAGGGGTGAGCTGGTTAGTGTAGTGAAGGCATAGTTCCTAAGTTCTAACAAAAAACAAATTTCCCTCCTAACTTAGAAACAAGGAAAATATCCTCATTTCAGAAAAGAAGGTAAACACAATTGGTGAATTTTTAGTTTTCTGCTGTATTTAAGTTCTATTTTGCCATCTCCACTCTTCTCCCCCTTGTACCCTCCACAACTCCTTTGGTCTTTCAGCAAACTATTCCCTCTTAGCACAAAGACCAAGCCCCATTCTTTTCTTCCTCAAAATTGTGTTATACAAAGATCTTCCCTCCCCTATTGTTTCTAGTAGGTACCTGTTCTGTTCTCTTTTTTCACAATTGTCCATGTTTCACATCCATATACAGCAGTCAATAACACTCCATATAAAAACACTTTGCTATTCTTGTCCTTAGATCCATGCCCAACTTATGCTGCACAGTGTAATTCTACTTTCTTGACAAATGCACGTTTTGCTATTCCAATGTGCCTCTTTCCAACTCCTCCATTCATCTGTTACAGCGGTTCCTATAGATATTTTCGAGCTTTCTACTTATTTCTGCATTTCCCCTTTCACATACCTACACTTGCATTTCTTCTACCTCTCGAATTCTCATTACCTTAGTCTTTTTCCTTTTTATTACTAAACCTTTGCACCATATTAATGTTTTTTAATTAATACTTTCAGATCTTCTGTATTTTCTACTAACAGTAATACTGTCATCAGCAAACCAATGGATACAACGCTGGTTCTTCCTCTCCAATATATTTACGCCCGTATCAGCTTTCCAACACTACTGTAATGCGATGTATGTACTCAGCGTAAATATTAAATAATGTCGGTGATAAAGGACACCACGGTGCGTCACGCCGTTTACTAAGTCTGTTCTGTTTCAGCCGACTCTCACTGCTACCTGCTGCGCGGTGTACAATTTGATGAGGTCTTCTATATATCCATTCCAATCTACACTTTTGGTTTTAAAATTATCAATTTTTCCCACAGAACACAATCATCAAATACCTTCACCCGGTCAACGATCACACACAAACTCAAGATTCCTTTCTTTTTCCACATCTTTCACCTTGGTTCTAAAACGCCCTCAGACGGTACGAATCGTTGTACATACAACTTATCCTTTTGGGTAATGAACTAATAGGTTCTCGTTCTAGGTCAAATCCTCTATGACTGGATTGTGTAAAAAATTGTTACTGTTTGTAAAAAAGCAGTAACGAAAATAGACCTTCCTTTCTAGCGTCTTGATGTTATCTTATTGGAGATTTGCCTGGAATAAATCAGGTTAAAGACATAGTTTAACGGAAACAATATTTTAAAACTTTTATTCACATGAATAAAGAAACCTTAATCTTATTATTGCCGCTACCAGCCTATATAAATATATAACAAAATAAAACTGTCTCTTAAAGAAAAATGCATTGTATTGCATTATGAATGGCATGATCCTTGTCAATGACTACATTTTAAAATAAAAAAAGTGTTTCTTTTAACAATACCGTGCCAACTTCGTTTGAAATTGATCGATCTAAAATTGTTTATCCCTATAATATACATAAATACACCAAAGCAATACATAATAGTAAAATCCTGACGATTTTTTAAGTTGAAATAATAAATTTTTAATGTTGAGTGTGTGAAACCACTATACCATTGGGTAAGAAATCTTACATACTGTTTACCACAACTTATGCGTTATGATGGTAAAATTGTAACAATTAACCAATTGAGCAACACCATATAAACTAACTACACCATACAACCATTACTTACTAAACAAAAACAACTAGTAGAAACGAACTAAAGACTGTCCTAAAGAACTACAAACTAAACAACATAAAATATACAATAAGTATAATCAAAATATATATTTCATCTAAAAACAGTCTAACATCCTAAAATAAAACGATTCTTTTTTGGAAACAGTACAATTTGGCTTGGTTGGGGGAGGTCGGATGAATATAGGTAAGTTTTTTTTTCAGTCTCTTGAATAAGGCATATTGTCAAAACAATGATCACAGCCTGTATAAGCACTAGGACTTACTGTAGAGTTAACTGTAATATGAGCAGCTAAAAATTAATTTAAAAAGAATAACAAAACAATAACTGTACAACAATGGTAACTAATATACGTTGAGGTTTTATCCGAGAGTCAATAACTGTTCGATAAAAATGCCCATCACTATTTGGAATTACGTTGCTCACTATCAAATGTCTCATTGGCACCTTTATAAATTTGCACTAAACCATAAATATCGTCAACGCACGCGCACTATATATTAAAATGGATGCTCAGCTTCCAACTTTGGCTCTTGCTTAAATGGCATAGGAAATTTGTCGTCTCCCATGTGACCAAGATCACGGACGATGAGTATATTAGAATTGCCATCACTAATAATGGAAGGAGGGGAAGCTAGGTTTCCATTGGGTAGGAACTGATCCGATGGGCTGTGACATTGCGTTGTACACGGGGGTGTGCTCGGATCATCTGATGAGTCGCTATGATTGCTTTGGTAGCTGTTTGAAGACGGCGGTAGTATCGATTGTTGACCTATTGTATCAATTGTTGCACCTTAAAGGAGACTGATATGAATTTACGTACCAGTTAGCAATGTAATACATGCACTGAATTAGGAGAGAATAAAAGCTAATTATTTTATGTTATTCAGTTATATAAAAACATTGCACATTTTGCCCTCGAGTTTACAATTAAGTCATGTCAGCGAGTTTTTCCTACGTGAAAAAATGACGGCATGTTCATGATGGAAATGTTCGCCAAATGCGCCATTTCGAGCAAGACATCATACGAGTATCAACTTAAATATTTATAATCCATAGCAGTGGTATGATTTGATATTGCAATCTTAATGTGTTGGTCTGCGATGTTACACGTTAAATGGTCAAAGATCAGTCACTTATTCAGAAAATAGCATTGCTCTAGAGATGGCGGATTTTTTTACATGCTGTCTTTAGAAGAACATACGTTTCAAATAAAAAGGTAAAATTTGTTTATAAGTGTTAATAAAAATAATAAATAAATGACAACATTGAGATTAGCTAATTGAACAACTCTGCTGAAAAAACACCAAGTCAGTTAACTACAGTGGGTTATTTGCACACAATTTGAAAATATAGAATTTTGCTTCTACCTGTCAAGTTTTGCGTAGTTGCTTAACTGTGCAAGCAGGTATCTGAAAAAATATGCGCAAGACTGTTTCACATAATAAAGAAAACTTAGTTACAATAACAAAAACAAAAAATACCGCAGGTGCAAAATGGGCGTATTTCCAATAAGTGTGCAATGCCCACCAATTCTAGTATAGTATAGAATAAGGCATTGTTTACAAGCCCTGTACTTACACTCCCTATGCATCTTTTTCCGCACGATGAATGGTGTTAAGTCGGTGCAGAAAGAGGTGCCTAGGGACAGAATGTCATATTAAGTTTACATTTAATCCATTTCATGTAGGTAATAATGTTCACAACAAATCTACTAAAAATGAGTATTTACAAAAGCTACTTTCGCATGCAGAAAAACCGTAATAAAGAGCAAGTACACCAAGAAAGAAGATTACATTCCGTTTTAGGGTGCATTTTCCATGTACCGATTGAAGACAAGCATTGGAATAGTTAACAAAGTAAGCTAAAACAAAACCTATGCAGCAATATAAAAATCCTGTCTACGCTAATGATGAAAATTTAAATTTGTACTAGGAATGTGAGAATATTATTGTATGGACATCTACATATCTGATCAATTAGTGAAGTACCATTTTGAATTTGATTAGTTACAAGTTTTTACAACTATTTACAATAGGGTGGAATGGAATCGAAAACTAGAATGAGTATTTAGAACCCAAATTGTAAGTAAAATTCAGTAAAGCAACGAAATTACTAAGAATGTTATTTCAGCAATAAGGAGAGTTGACTAATATTAAATCAATTACCTCCAAGCAGCATTTCTTGTAAAAGATTGTCGATGTGCGCGACCCCAAACAATTTAGCAAACTGAATTTGTTCGATCATCTGCCAGGTTATTGACTGGAGTGCTGGAAGTGTCAGTAGAAGTTCGCCGAAACGCCCCCTACTATCATATTGCCTATCACTGATGTAGTCTTCAAGGTTAACTTGAATTTGGTAACGCAGTGCTTTAATCCTTTGCGGCTCACTAAGACCTTTCGCATCTGTGAATCAATCCGTAGTTATATGATATAGAAATTGGCATCGAATATATTCTTATATACTTTTATACTTACTAGGATCGAAAAACACTATAGCTTTAAGGCAAGCAAATTCGGTATCATCAACTTGAACTTCTGTCATGGGTTTAACTAATTCGTCCATAATTCGAATTCCAACTCGGGAGATATCCAAATCTGGCGACACTCTGGAGTCTGGTAACAGGATCACTGTGTTCAACACGTGGTACAAATTATTTCATGCTATTACATCTAGATGTGGGATTAATCCAACATGCTTTTTCTTTTAAACAATTTAAACAAAAATTGTTCCTCTACGCATCCTTGTACAATTTTCAACTTCATAACGCATATTAAGCATGTTGCATAATACATTTACGTCCAGACACTTCACAAGTTGCAATTAACTTACACTAATGCACAACTTGTTAGAAAGTGTTTCACCCAAAGAAGGGATTTTCTTCGGATCCACCACCCGACCAAAAAATAAATTAAAAGCAAAAATGAATGTGTTTATCCCATAATGAAGATGAAGTTAAAACATGCGTTGTTGACCATTGCCAAATCATGCAATCAATCATGCACAAAGAATGTGCTTAGTGTGGATGCTGCATAGTCAGGAACAGAAAATTTCATTCCGTTTATGAGAACCCACATATAAATGCGCAAACATGTGTGACAATAACAATACATTAAAAATAGCGATATTAAATTTAGAAACCGACAATTATATGCTAAATAAAAATGGAAAAAAATGGTCTATTTTTATTTAACATAAACCTATTATGCCCAAGCCTATACCTAGTACTGAACTGAACGAAACCGACAAAAACAAAAAAAAACAAATTAACGTAATTAGTCAATAGTGTAATGTCACTTACCTGGACAGTGTTTTGTTATAATACAATTATTTCCCAATAAAAGAATGTCTTTTAAATGCATTGATCGTCTCGCAACACCTAACAGAAGGTGCTCGCCAGCGTGAGCTCTTAAAAGAGCGACCTACAAAAAACAGTTTTATGAAAATAAAATAAAAGAATAGTAGGTAGAATAATTCTTTTGATTTACAATTATCATGAAGTTAAACAAATTTTCGGGCACGAAAAACCTTAACGTACCAAAGTGAATTTTTGGTAACATTTTTTGTTGTTGTTTGGTTTGAGTTAGCTAATTGTGCTTGTTTAACCATTTTTACGTATCAAATTTCGAAGTGAGAGTTTATTCGAATATTACATGTAATAATCCAGTTTTCCCAATTTTTTGGTTTCATTTTTTTTGCATTTTTTTACGAAATAAGTAAATATTTTTTGTAATCGTTGAGGTGTCAGATTTCCTTTAGACGGTCCTTTGATCTTTACTTTTAAGGTATTAAAATTCATTTTTTGGCAATTTTTGTTAGTCAGTCATATTTTTTTTGATAAAAATAAAAATTACATTTTTAGTTGATTTCCATGGGTTATATTAAATGTTGGTAATCTAATGATACGATTCAAGGAAAAAGATTTCTACCAATTACCAACCTCCTCTCCGACTCCTAATCGAGATCGGTGGTGAAAGTGGGGTCAAATTTTATTTTTTGGGGGATAAATTCAATCATTTGCATTTAGCGGTTGTAAAGAAATTCTCAGAGGTACATCAAAGGAGGTGCGAATGTGACCATTTGGATCGCAACTTGACCTACTTCTTAAGACCACCACCAAGGAAGGGGGGCCGAACATCTTGTTTAGCTACTTGGCAATGTCAAAACCAGTACCCTACAACTGGTCTAGTGCGCTTTTTTGCCTACTACAATTTCTTCCATCCTCATTTTCTAAGAAGGGGGGATGTGGTGTGGAGTACGTAATATATTTGCAAGCCACAATTATGGTAGCGTTTGTCTCCTTGCGTTTAGAACTATTCTTTTCATCTCCGCCTGCACACTGACACAGATCCTTCCCAGAAACGGTATATTTCACAAAATTTCAATCAAAATCGATTAAAAAAAATTATGGCAATGATCTCTAGATTTACATTTGTAAAAGGTAGAAGAAATAAACAAATTTTTTTTGTCAACACTTGATAAATAATTTGTTATTGGATAAGATTGATGCCCTGTTTAAAAAAAGACCTTTACGGGACGAGTTGACAAACTAGTTTACTTCCCTTTGGAAGGTGGATCTACTTCACGTCTAGACCGTACACGTCCCAAATAATTGCATCTTTCATTATCACGAGAACAGGTTATATTTTTTGCATGTTTACAAAACTTAATATCCGTAATATCCTAATTAATTTTTAATTAGTATTTGTCAACAAGTGACGTGACGTCAGAGACAAGAAGAACAGGAAAAATTACGTATATTCGGCACCGCGCATGAATAAATGATAGGGGTATGTTAGATCAAAACTACAAACCTGATCGTCTAATTGAAGCTCTGTGAACGCAGGGATGTATTTGGCCCATTCAACTAATATTAAAAGCTGTTGCTTCATTGATTCGCATACATCATTGATACTGGCTAGCTGTTTGTTGGATAAATCGTAATCATTTAACGGCGACCCCATCTGCTAAGAATAATCGGCCGTTAAGTGGAACGATTACTTCAAACTTCTCTTACCTCCAATGAAGCTCCCACTTGTCGGGATAGCATTTCTGCATTTAATAAAGAACTGACTGAAAGGCCATTTCCTTGTCCATTATCTTCGTAACTGGGTCGTCTACAGCTTATCCTATCCCTTTCATTTTGTACGGCTGCAATTAACCAATGAATTGGGGCTCTCGAGTTGGAGGGAATTTAACTTACCTTCCTTTTTCATTCCAGCTTTAAAGCACTTCCTCAATCGGCAATATCGGCATTGATTTCTTTTGTCCTTGTCCACCACACAATTTCTGCTGAACCTAAAAAATTACATTTTAATTTTGATTGTCAAACATCGTGTTTTAGCAAAAATTCACTTGATTATTATTACTAGTACATTTAATACGAAACCGCATGTTAAATGCTAATACGATTTAAATAGCAATTGTATTAATTCAGTTCCAAGAATATAAAAATTTTGATCCGTTCCAAACAATGATACATACCTTTTTACTGAACCATTATGTGCTAATATATTAATTATGAAAATTAAGCTATAATTATGTACAGAGGTAAAAAATATTTTTATGTGCAAAGCTGTATTTAAAACATTTCTATAAAAAGCTTGATAGGAAAATTATTCAACTAAGTTGCCTGTTTATGTGGGTAATCAATTTGCAGTAACAATGTATTATAGTATGACCTTGGTTGTAATACCAAAATTGTCAAAATAAAAACTCAAAGATGGTGAATAACAATTACCATCTTGGAGTTATGTCGCCAAGGTTAAACAATACAGTACTTGCTTAATAACAAGTGTAATAATATGACATAACTTGACTTTTTCCTTATCATCGACGCATGCATCATTTACATAATCATTTATGGTCGTCATTGGCCGGTTAAAGACATGTCAACTTGTAAATTAAAGAGAAAAACTGGATATAATTATAGAAAATTATACTCGCTTAGACACTTACGTTTTCTCAATATTACTTATCCTTGACTTAATTAGCATTAATTTTAATTATTTTTGTTGACTTCGCCAATGTTTTTTTTGAAAATGTGTAATCTATGCAATTAAGATTCATTTTCACAAATTAACATAAGCTAGCCAAGTAAATGCTGGACAGTTCCAAATTGGTGGTGATGAAAATACCTAATGTCATTTACACATTTTTATTCTTGATAGAAACTCTTATTCTTACGGAAAGGGTATGTCGCTAAGTCGCTTGTTGAAAAATGCACACCATGTACCTATTACAGTGTAACACAAGTGTGCAAATAAGGTCTGACGCGGAACTAAAATGCTGGATGAAAAGTCAGTAAAGGATTTGAGCTTAAATTATTGTCACAGGCATGGTTGCATGAATAGTTCTTGAGTATGAACGGCATCCAATAGCCCGTATCCGGACGAAAAATGACGAAGTGGAATTCTAGTACAATTCAGTGGTTTCGAGCGAAGCAAAGATTAGGGAATTACTAGTGACTAGTGTAACAAGCAAAACAGTGATAACGTTTTCATTCGAGAAACGATCTATCTGGCACTCGATGTACTGTTCAATCAGTAGTGTTGTAGAGCTAAACTTTTTGCTTCCTATCTAAGAATCTTAGGTTTTCTTCTTAGGAAATTTCCTTCCTGACAACCGGATTGTAATATTCTTAGAATCATCTTGAAATCTCCATTGGAAATCTTGAAATCATATTGGAAGGAATCGAGTCGGTGTTCGTTCTACTGAAGCTTCTTTTTTTAGCGCATTTTTCAATAAAGTTGAGTGCCCTATTATTTTCTCCGTCCGTCCGTCCGCCTCTCTGACATCCGACCCACAGTGTTCAATATATTTAGTTCGCTCTTTTTGAATTCGTTAGATTAGCTCTGGCACTTGAACCACAGATGCTTCTAGTAAACGCAAACATATCGAATATTGGAAAAAGGCAGATGTGCGGAATGCCAACTTTCTTATTTATGGAAACATTTCTTTAAAATTTTAACCATAGATGCTTCTAGTAAAGAAAAACATAAAGTGCAACTATACAGGGTGGTGCCTAACGCAAGGCAGCATAGGGATTTCAATGGTAATTTCTTTATAGTCAATTACTAGCTCCCCTAATTATTTTAGAGCAAAAGTCTAAATACGTTTTTTTTTAGAGAAAAAATACTGCATCTGTTCTTACTTTTAGTTATATAATTTTCCATTTTTCAAAACCATAGAAATCGACAAAATAAAAAATTATATTTTTATAAATCAGTGATGCTTTGGAATCTTTCAACAAACTAAAAGCGCATCGATAGTTGTTTGACGTCGAACGATTTTCATATTTAATTCTGTTTCAACTAACCGACGCAATAAAAGGCATCTTAGGGTAATGTTTTTTTAGAGAATGTATACTGCATCTGCATCAGATACTATTTGTTTATCATTTTCCGGAATCAGAGTACCTACATAATAGAAGAAAAAAAACTGATTTGAAGAAGATTTGTTCCTAAACTTATATTCGGATTTTCCGCTACTGCAGCCAAAACGTTGAATGTATTGTCGTTTTCCTGATGGTTGACGGACATTATTCCGCTTGCAGTTCTTTAACTAATTTATAAACAAGTATAAATTTAATATACGTCAAAGGCAAATAATGAAACATGATCGCTGTTTTTTTTAGGTAATTCCAAGGCATATTTGATTTATTGTAAAATGAACCTTTTCATCTTGTCGATTCCTACGGTTTTGAAAAACGGAAAATTATAACTAAAAGTATGAACAGATGCAGTATTTTTTTCTCTAAAAAACGTATTTAGACTTTTGCTCTAAAATAATTAAGGGAGCTAGTAATTGACTATAAAGAAATTACCATTGAAATCCCTATGCTATGTCGCGTTAGGCACCACCCGGTATACAGTGCGTTCAAGATAATATCTTTTATTTTGCGAGATACGAAAAATTTATCAAACATTGATATATGTGGTATGACGATCTATCTGATCCCATATTCAAACCTCCGGTTTATAGCCTTTTGGGAAGTTCTGATAAGTGCATGGAAAATGCGCTAAAGTTACTCACCGTGGGTGGAAAACCTTTTTATTTGTTTGTTTTTTGTGTTGTGTTATCGTATTTTAAGATCAATTTTGATTTTATACATTAGGTTGCTTCTCTATCTGTATTTTATTTTTAACTATTTAATTTATCTCAATTTATTCAATTTCAATTATTCAATACCTACAATCTGAAACCTTACCAACCGTCAAATTAAAAAATGATAGGTATAGCTTACTCGTGATATTCACTAACAGTATCACGTAGTGTGTAACAACCCAATGCAATTGCAATAAATCTTTAACATTTTCTGAAACGACAACACTTGGCACAAAAGTATTCAAGAGATTTAAAAAGTACATAGTGTGATTATACAACTAACTACTGTACACAGCACTAAGAAAGCAAAAGATCAGGCATCCCCACTATATTCATATTCTACTAATTGCACAATTAGTGCGCCACGGAGCCAGTTGGATGCTCCCGCAGTCAACTGATCATAACCCGTTGTACCCGTCTTACGTGCCGGTTCAAATACAATTCAAAATTAAGTACTTAGGCATATGAGAACTCCGAGGTTAACTCACAGTACTTTCAAATATTTAAAATGTGCACATTGCGATTTTGCAACACATCAACACCATGTCCTGACACGTTTTAAAGCACCAGGAATCCGAATCAAACAAAATCTCGATAATGTCGGTCTGTCTGTCTATCCGCTTTGTCTTTGGACAACGCGCATACGCAGCTGTGCGAGTAATATCTGTGATAGCCACGGCAAGTTTTTTAAATCTGTTCCTCTACAACATAACACCTGAACTAACAAATTACACGTTTTCGGGACCAGATTTTTGGATTATTAGTAATCTTAAGATTTCTTATTTTACTTGTCGACCGCCTGAGTGCGGGGTATTATGTCCAAACAAGCTTTGTAAGTCATCGTGCAGGGATTTTGTTTCATATGTTTCGGAATGTTTGTCACTATGAATCAACTAATTTTGTGTTTGTGTGACCCAGATACTCTCTTCATGTCAGATTTTCTATTCGTGTCCAAGATTTATTTCAAGTGCGAATATTTGTGTAACAAATCCTTCGGAATTTTCGGAAGTTGATCGAGACCACCCTGTCTCTCAAAATGAGAAGTTTTAAGATTTTTCTTTACAGCAGATGCCGGATGTGTACGAGGAGTTTATAAAATTTTAATTTTTTTAAATTTGTTTTGGGCTAGCTGGACAGGTGTTTTGTGGATGGTGTAGTGGACCGCATGCCATTGCACACAGTAACATATAATAATAGGAGGGACCAGGTGCATTCGGACGTGGTGCACTAAAATTAATCCGAAATAAGTAAAGTAAACAACGGGCGGGAGAAGTTCGAATGCACCTGAACTATTTTTTTCTTTTTATACTTTTAAGGATTAGGATTCCCTATTAGTGAAACATTTGTTTGTAAGTAAGTTAAATACAGGGAGCGAGAGGGAGGGGAAGCTAAATTCAAGTAGGCTCCGTCACCCCATACCAAATTTTAAATTCCTAGTTGCACCAAAAGCCCCCTAGGCCGTTTCAATGTTTCAAAAATAACTGCAAAATTTAATCGTAATCGGTCCATCCATTCTCTTTTAAATCGATGGACATGAAGCCATCGGGCGATCTGAAGATTGGGAGAAAGAATAACCGTCTCAATGTACTCGGGTCTGTCCATTTTCGGCAGTGCGGCATTCGAGTGGTTTTCTCTCCCAGACTTGAGTGACAGCGAATTCATTTCATTTTACGATCACGCGAAGTAAAAATAGAAGTCATATTCGCAAAAAATTAAAAACATTGTATGTACAGTGGATACTAGATGCTTCGAGCGCATCGCAGTTTATGAACTCTTATCTCTAGTCAAGACGCAGGTTAACATCAGGAAAGCTGCAGCCGTATAAATTCAGCAAAGAAACTTCGACCTAGGGAAATCCCGAATCAACACAAATTCTATGGGGATCGATCAAACTTTAGGAAAAGGCTAATTCTTTAATTACCTTGGTATATTGTAAAAATGTTATTTATTATACTTTAAGGTTAGGAGTATCATAATAATTTCAATCTGTTGAGAATTCGTTTATTTTGTTTCCTTGGATTAAGTAAAAAAAGGACCCCGTAAGATATTTCGGCTACGTGTACATTTCAAATATTGTCAATACCTACTGATGTGGGGGGGGGGGGGATCAGATGCCAAGGAGTATCTAAATTTGATGGCAGAGATTGGTGGATGGTGGATCTATTATACCATGGTATGATCCGAGGTTTAAGTTTAAAGTTATATATTTCCACAAAATTTTAAAGTAATCAGTTTAAATATTGTAACTACCATTACATAGTGATTTAAACAAGCTCTAAAATTGTATCCTTGCGGTATCAACAGCCTCTAAATAGCCCACACAAATGTTGCATTGAATATTGATTTACAATAGTAGATCATCCAAGATGCAAACCGCGACTTTAAAATTATTTGGTTCAACTCATAGGTTAGATCGGTTTATTATGTGTTGCAAGCACTGGGAATGTCTGTCTGTCCGTCACCAGTAACTGCGACCTCCAATATAGTTGAGCTGGAGATAAATGTCAAGGTCAAAATTTAAAGGAAAGGGAGAAAATGTCATGTTGCACCCGGCCTAGCGATTTGTTATTTGGGCAGAACATTACCCGTTTGTAACATTGATGGTGATTTGTAGGACCTTGAATGTACGTTAATGGGATGATAAGGAAAAGAGTGCGCCTACATGCTAATTAACGTACCTAGGCTTCAACTTTCTATACCAATTTGATATTTGTTGGTTCACATAGGTAACAATATTTTAATCTTTCTACAACAGCATTGATTATATACAGTATACAATCAATGGCAACAGTCTAATAAATTTAATTTCAATTGTATGAATGTATATAGCATTGTACTAATTCAGCTCTGCAATAATTAGTTAAGTAGGTAGTCAAGTACAGAGCATAATTCTATACCTAAATTAGTGGTGGTTGATGGGCATTCCCAAGATTTTTGATTAAATAGACATTGTATTATACCACAAATAAGTAAATAAAACAAGGTGAGAAATTCGCTTTAGATTATTTTAATCAATGAAAATATTCAAGTACACAAGCTATCGTATTTTTCCAGCGAACATCGCGAAAAACCTTGGGATACATCCATACTTGAGTATTACAATGCAATTTCCTGCTATATTTATTGTTTCTATAATTCATTCGTGCGGAGGCATATAGGTTATGAATGATTATTAATTTTAAAAAAATATTAACCTTACCTGCACGTGTATAAATGATTTTTTCTGACCGATCTTCTGAAGAAACCCTTACATCCGTCACAAGAAGCTGCCCCATAATGTTTGCCGGTAGCGCGATCCCCACAAATGGCACAATGTTGGCTCATTGCAGCCGCACTAGGTACCCCCGTGTTGTTTATGGAGGCCGCTAGCGTGCTGCTACTGGTCATTGTCATCTCCGAATCTGCAAATAAACAAATTTAATTACTTCTTACGTAATATTTCGGAGGCATTACGAACATTGTAATTGCCAAGGCCTGTCGGCGAACGCTGTCTTAAAAGGTAATGCATGTTAATATGTAGTACCTTAGATAACGTTAAGGACAATTGTAAATCCGCTATTTGCGTTAATTGAGCATCAAGGATGAAATAAAAGTATATTTAAATAAGTCTATCTCTACAATTACGGAGTGATTACGGAAAATTATGTAAGAGAGGATGATTGTTCTGAAGTTTGCGACTAGTTATACACTAAATCTCCAGCGAAAAAATTAGCAAGGAATATCCGGCGCTTTTGATAAAGATTTACTTTGAAAACGAGGAAACCTACAGCCGGCTGGTATCCTATGACCAAAATCTATAATTCAGTCAGCTTTCAATATATTCAATCATTATAAATGTGATAGATAGGTAGTGGTACAAACAAATAGCCATTTCATTTGATAGATAAATCTCATGTTGCACTAGACCAATTTTTATGATCCATTGTCCAATTAAACAAATTGCACCACTTCAATAAGATAAATACTGAGTCACTATAGAACCGAACGCATTCGCATTTATAAGGAAATCACCCGCTAGCTCAACAAGTAATCACGTGCAGTACGGGCCAATCTTTGTTTGCCTTCTTCTATTGTTTTAATTTCAAAAACTTCTTAAAAGAACAAGTACCGCGCTTACCGCCTGTAACCGGAATGATAACTAAAGCTTGTCGCTTCTTTATCAATGCAATACAACGACCTGGTTATATGTAAACAGAAACACGGTTGCCTAATTCTGTTTAGTATTCGAACATCTCTAATTAACAGTTAATTAATTACGTATTTAATATTCCCCGAACTGATATTTTCCCCTTTCTCGTTTGTAAAGGGTGATCGTACGTGGCAATATTTCGACCTTGGATGGCATCTTCAGGGTCGACTGACATTAAAAGTTCGTACTGTGGCGAATGCTGTTACTAGAACTGTCATTTCCAGTTTCATTTCCGAATATTGAAGATTGCGCATCATTGACTGAAAGCAACGAGAGTCTCAAATAATTCTGCACAGAAAAATTGTGTGCCTCCAAGGCTCATAATTCATTACATCCTTGGCAAGGATTTTAAAGCATCTCTGTTATCGGTATTCACTTCCGCCTATAGGGAATTGACTTGTCAACAAAACGTGTCGTGTAGGCCTTCCACTTTTCATTTGTGAGTACCTCTTTCGATGCTCACTCCCCGAAATATTCGCATTTAAAGTTTTAATCCTACGCGCATGGCTTTTAAATGCCCTTTTCCAAAACTCTGCTCTCGAAACATCCACATTTAAAGTTTTGGTGGGATTGATAGCCAACCAACATTGCAGGAACGGCCGAATAAGACGACATTTGCATTGCAAGGCTAGGTTGGAAGAGACAGCAGTGAACAAAATTGGAAAGAATCGCTTATGAATGCAAACGGATCACGAAAGGACAATACAAAACTCGTTAATTCATATATTTATACCTGTGTATTTACCTTGCTAGTCTCGTTGTTTGTACTACGTGAGACATAGCCGATGTTGATAATTTGATAATGCAAAAGTGCGGAATAGTAGTGTAGCTGTAAAAATATTGATTCTTACATCAAAATGTGTTAATTAATTTAATAATTTTACTAGTTTGACCATGTTTTTTATGTTTTCATATTTTAAAAAAAGTTTCATTCTTTAACACAAAAAATAGTGCTATGCAATATACATAAAAAGTTCTTTATATTACTATAGGTATCCAAAAAAGTGTACTCTTAAAGAATATGTACCTAACAAAAAATAGCATTAAAAAAAATATGCCCCGTTCATCATGCATTAGTACGCCACTGACCACCAATTTAAAGTAGGTACTTAAAGTACATAGATTGGTAGCAAACTTTTTATAATTTTGGATACCATAAAAGTTGCTTTAAAAAAAGTTGTTTTGAAGATATATTCCCCGTTCCAGACAAACTGTTCACTCTGTATGAAAAATACGCGAATGAGGTTAAAAATATGGGCTGTGCATACTCCGACTAATTCCATAATACAAAAAACCACACATTCCATAAGAGAAAGCAAGCCAAAACGCCAATTTGAAGAAAAAGTTCTTTTTCGAACCATGTCTCCCATTTTCAAAAAATCACACTTCATAACTGTGCAATCCTCGGTGCAATCATTCTTGCGACAAAAACTGGGTTCATCAATTAAGCGACGGTGACTATTTCAATAAATGATACGGAACAAACATTCCCTTAGAACAATAAATTATTTGTTCAAATGGAACTACTAGTTAAAAATTTGGTTGGAAATAGTGTAATGTCAGAAGCGCTGTGCTTTAAGACTGAAGTTGATACAGAACACTCGAAATTGTAGTGCGAAATAGTGAACTTTTAAGGCGAATGATCTGGGATTACGGTGCTGACTGTGCCTTAGCGTATGAAGGCTTGGGGCGCCAGAGAGTCGCAGGAAGTGACGCGACGGATTTTATTTATTTTGCAGTAGTCATTGTCAAGTTAGCTATAGGGGATGGGAACTGCCGATTCTGTGGGAAATTTGCCGTCGTATCGGCCCAAGCGTTTGGCAGTTATCGTGTTCACGGGCAGAGGGACACCATCGACTCCGCTCTGAAGCTTCCATCGATTTCTCCCGCTCTTCATGCGTTTAGTCCTTTAGTGTAGTGTTTTTATCGCATATTCCAACTCATGTTGGAAGGCGCTATTATGGCCATTTTATCCGTCCGTTCGGGGCCTTACAATTCGTTCTTTTTGTGCTTTGGTAGCTTACAGCTCTAGCACCCCAACCAATAAAAATCTTGACGATTAATTGGCGCATGCGCAGACGACGCAATATATACTTTCTTATTTATAGCTATTTTTTTTAATTTTCACCGCAGATGCTTCTAGTAAAGAAGAAGAATATTGTAAAAATCAGTGTGTGCATGCGCAAATTCTTTATTACTTAAAGATTTAAAGTTAATCTGACCAAGTTATTTTGTAAAATCTTACTTTTATGGTCTTACCTATGCGGTAAATATGCCATAAACTTGTGAAAACGCAATAAGAGCATTATGTGCTTTTAATACTAAAGAATTGTCCGCCAATAAAATAAAATAAAGCTGCCGAAGGCTTCCTGGATTTAAAAAAAATCACTGTTCTTGTATAGGACCTATGGTAAATAAGTCTTAAATCAGTAAGGTCGGGGACGGTTTATGTACACAATTGGAATTCCTGCTATTTGAATGGATTTTCTTGAGAAAAATAAAAAAACAGTACAAATAAATACAAAAAAAACTTCGAGACCAAATGAGAGCCTCTCAGAGACGAGACGAATTGAGACTAAAGACGAGACGAGGCTTAGACATATCAAATGAACCACCCTGTATATTGACCTCACCAGTTAGAGGGGTTAACGCAACCCATTGCTTAATGGAAGGGGTTGTCAAGCACAAAATCACGTGTGAGCATACTACTTTAAAGTTACTTCACCATACACCACCAACATTTTATAGGATCAAACTTATCGCTACATGGCTGATTTTTTGTGTAAAGTATGCTGGTACATAGTGAAGTAGAAAAAGTCATGTGTGCCAGCGAGATCCCGTGGCTTAAGGTTGGGAGGGGTAGTCAAATATGTCAAATTTTAGTAAAACTTCCGATCTTCTGACTTTATTTACCTCTGGCGCCTTTATTTTGAATCCAATGAATGAAACTTTTTGTACAGCTTATCAAGGTACATCTTTTTTGTATTTAACATTTTTCGTTATGGAGCTTATTTTTCGAGAAAAGTGCAAATTAAAAAAAATAAATAAATAGTTTAACTGTTCAATTTAGAATTTCTCAAAAACTAAAAAACTCACAAAAAACTGTAATAGACTTTTTGGGGAGTTTTGTACGCTACATTTGCCAGTGTGTGCAAAACTGATTACAAAATTTCTTTTGTTATGACTGTATGCATGTGGTTCGTTTCTTGTGAACACGATAACTCAAAAACGCCTGAACCGATTTATATGAAATTTGGAGTGTATTGCATAGGGAATCACAGGCCTATTTTGGTTTCGATCCGTTACCATCTTCAGGGTAAAAGCGTTGAGTGAAGAATTAGTTAATTACTCAATGGTAAAAAGTAATGACTCGGTAACGGTAGAGCACGAGGACTCCGTGCGCCCCGTTTGGTGGAGTCCCGCCTTTAGACTATAAGTAGGTACTACGAGTGACGATTTGAGAAACGGTTTTTTTCCAAATAGACCTCGTCAATAAATGAACTTGAAGACATGAAGGATTCCGCTTTTGATCATGTTACATTAAATTAGAAGATTATATGACAGTCAAAACAACGAAGCGATATTGTTTGTAAAGCTAATGTTAATTAAAACGTAAAAATAGAACAATTCAAATTGGTATACATTGGCATCCGCCAAGACGCAAGTTAGATTAATTTGAAATCTAAAATTATAAATCTCCCTATAGCGAGATACGACGACAAGTAGGCGTCTTTAATAATCTTCAGTTAAATATCTTTCATGCGTAAAGATAAATTGGAGCATTATAAGCCAGTTATCGCTGGATTTATTGAGATATGAACTAAATTGAACGTAAATGTCTGGGAAGGATATGTCCATGTTAATGTGTTTGTATCGTGCACGAATAGAAACTACAATAATTGTTTGCCCGTATAAGCGCTAGGGATATTACGAAATCATATTACGACTTGAGGCAGGACATGGTTGGACTTATGGTCATTCCAAAGGTTGGGCTATTCGTCAACAATACAAAAATTGCACCATTCACTTACGTGTAAAGGTTACGTTCGTTCGCGTGTTTTTGTTTATTTGTACTATGGCGTGGCGCTTAGAGCCAGACAAACCTGAGACCGGGGACGATTATGGTGCTACGTCACTTGGTGGGCAAATTTCACTTTTCATAAACTTTTTACATAAGCGTGAGTGCCCGTTATCTAATTACGATGCTTAATT